TCACATACTAGTCTGTGATGGAAAAACAAACTTAGGAGTTGAGGAAAAAGAATTATTATAACAAAATACTGAAACTCTTCTGCAGAAGAACAAAAAGTTTAGCTAGGCATAGATGTATAAACAAGTCATCCCAGCACTTGGGATCAGGATTTCAAGGCTAGCCTCAGCAACACAGCAAGTTCCAAGCCTGACTGTGATAACCAAGATGCTGTCACAAAAAAAGAATTAATTTGAATAAATACATAGATAGATAAATACATAAGTAAATAAGTAAACAAACCAGACTAAAATACAGACTAGATGGGAGGTAGGTATTAGATTGCAAGTTGTGTAAGTCAACCAGGTAGATGCTGTACTCAGAGTCTATACTCTTCAATGTAACAGGGCCCCCAGACCTCAGTAGCCTCTAGACCTTAGTGCAACTGACTCCATGGCAGAAGTATCATTGAGGACATAAAACTCAGCATGTAGATAGTAACACCTGCCGAAACAAAAAGACCTAATCCATCTGTCCTAGTTAGGGCTTCTATTGCTGTGAAGAAACTTCATGACCATGGGAACTCTTATAAAGGACAGACATTTATTTTGGCTGGCGCACAGTTTGAGAGGTTTAGTCCATTATCATATTGGTGGGACACGGTGGTATGCAAACAGATATGGTGCTGGAGAAGTAGCCAATATCCTACAACTTGGCTTGCAGGCAACAAAAGGTAGTCTGAGACACTAGGTGGGATCTTGAGCATATATGAGACCTCAAAGTCTGCCCCCACAGTGACACACTTCCTCTAATAAGACCACACCTACTTCAACAAGGCCACACCTCCTAATGTGCCACTCCCTTTGGGGGGGGGGCATTTTCTTTCAAACCCCACACGGTCAAAATCCATAGTTCTTCGAAAGTTTCTAAGTGTACTAATCTTGCTTTCTGTCTTCTGTAGTTCTGCTTCTCGCTGTTATGGTTAACTGCAGTATAATATGTTTTATACATGTTTTTATATATGCTATGCAGTATAATATGGCTTTTGTGTTTTAAAAGGCACAAACGAGAGAGGGGCATCCATCAGTGAATGTGTTACTATCAGTCGTGAACCTATGGTCATTTCAATAACATGAAAGTAATTAGCCTTCACCTTGAGAAAGGCTCGGGGCCACACTGGGATCCTGAACACCCGGTGTAGTTGCCAGCCAGCTACTAAGATGTCCTATTGGCTTAAGCCCATGCCTGAGCAGCCCTCTCTGGTAGATAGCTTACAACATTCAAGAGTTAGGGAATGGTCACTAGCAATAAGGGAGTGTGTAGCTGAGGGAAGGAAGCGTGGTCGTCTGCCACTGAGGACTCATTATACTGGAGCCATGGAAATGGGTGATGAAAATGCCTGTGAAAAAGAAGATAGAGGGGTGAAGCAAAGTAAAAACAAACAAACAAAAACCAAAACAAAGAAGCAAGAGCTAGAATATTCAATTGATGGATAAGTGTGGGTTATTGAAATGACTATGGATTCACGACTGATAGTAACACAAAGGAGGAAATGAGGAAATATCCAGAAGGCATGGCTTCAAATAAGGAAAGATGTTGTGGGATATTTGCACGCTGTGTGAGGATGTATTGCTGTGATTGCTGTAATAAAAAGCTAATCAGCCCATAGCTAGGCAGAAGGAAGTTATTCCCAAGCCTAGTAATAAAACTGAAGAGCGACAGTAAACAAAAACAAAATATGCCTTTCTTTCTAGAAGTTGAAGATGTATATTTAGCAAATGCTGAAGACAGGATAAGGCGTAGAGTTTTCATAGAAATGAGTTTCCTGAACAAGGGACAAGAGTAGGAGTTGACAGAGTCAAAGGCCCCTGGAGGGAGCTCCCTGATAAATGAAATTTGATTTCATTTATCAAATCACTACAGAAAAGGGAGGTAGAAACTGCCAGAAAGCCACGGTGGTAGTAACAGAGATTAATGTCTGATGATACCTGCATAAGGATGAGAAGAGCTTATCTTGATTGACAGGGGAGTGCAAAGTCCACAGCAGGTGGCACATCCCTAAGCAGCGGGCCTGGGCTGTTGAAGGAAGGTATCTGAGCAAGCCAGTGAGAAAGTCACAAGCCGAGGTCTTCTGTGGTTTCCACGTCCAAGCTTCTGCTTTGAGTTTCTACCCAGATGGGTTGTGATCTGCAAGTGTAAACCAAACAAACCCTTTCCTGCCCTTGTTGCTTTGGTCAGAGTGATTTTATCATGATAATAGACAAAGCAACCCAAACACAGGCCTACAGGCCAGCCCAGTGTAGACGGCTCCGCATTGAGGCTACCTTCCCAGGTACTTCTATGTTGTATTAAGTTGGCAATTAAATTATTTAATTATCATTAACATTTGGAGCCTATTTTCTGTATTTGCCTGATGAAGCCATCAGCTTCTCCTAGAACTTTTATGCTCTTTGGCATCATTGTAACATAATTACGGGATGTTCTCATGACTAGATTATGATCTTCATGAGACAGGGATTATTATTGTACATTACTAGTACTTAATGCTTAATACAGTCAGTAGAACGTAAAAGATATTTCATAAGCATTATTGAAAAGCAGAGAGCACAGTGCCACTATGTGTTTCCCTGTGGTAAAATCCTGAGAAGACCAACTTACAGGCAGAAAGCCTTATTCTGATTCATACTTCAGAGGCTTCAGATCATGGGTGTTGACTCCATGGCTTTGGGTGTGTAGTAACCACATGTTGGAACATAGATACTTACCTCAAAGCATCCAGAAGCAAGAGGGGGAACTAAGGGGACCAAAACTCTTTCTGAGGGCACACACAACCCTAGTAATGACACTTCCTCTCATCACACCACACCTCTGAACAGTTCAACTACCTTCTAATAAGAGTACAAGTCGGTGATGATGCCTGTTAACCCATGACCCTTGGGAGCTTCCAACCCTAACCCTAGTACTCAGTGTGTAAGAGAATGGCAATGACGTGTCAGTGCAACGGTGCTGAGGGTAGATGATTAGAGAAAAGGAGTGAAGACATAAATTCATTTAAAAAACTGTATGAAACATTTTAATTGAGAAAAGGCATGCGTATTCACATACATACACGGTTTCATTTTCTGCATACCAACTCGCTCAAACACTTGCCGCTGTAGAGTCAAGGCATTAATCGGAGTATGACTCAGCTTCCCAGCCTGAGCGTCTTTCACACAAGTCGCACTACAATCACAGTGCCCTCGGGTGTTTATTTATGCTGTCAATAAAATGAATTGTAAACTCGCAACTCACTTTAAAGACAATGAAATGAAATTCTCCTAAGAATTTTAAACTTATTTTCCCAGAAATAATGACTTTTTTTTCCATTTATGTTTATTTTGTTTTATTGATCAAGGTCTCCTTTAGCATAGGCTGTCCTTAAATTCTCTATGTAGCTATGGATGACTTTGAACTTCTGATCAGCCTGCCTCTGTCTCCCAGATGCTGGGATTATAGGCAGGTGCTACCATTCCTGTTTTTAATGTGGTGCTGGGATTTAATCCGGAGCAGGCTAGGCAAGCGATCTTCCAAATGAGCTACATCACTACCCTTCATATATGTTTTGATGACTATATGTGTGCATTCTCTGGTAATATAGTGAGGTAAATTCGTCACAACCAGCAGTTTTAATGCATTGTTTTCGCCTATGGCTAACCGAGTAGGCACCTCTCCAATTTTGGCAAGCCTGATCATGAAACTGACCCTGAGCAGGGCAGGATCCTGGACTCCGCTGTGGTGGCCTCTGGAATGGTCTTCTGGAATGACGGCACCATGCCAGGTCTTCAGCAGAAACCAGACCATTTGCCCTGTCAGCTTCAAATTGAGCAAGAGCTCCACAATTTTACACTTGAGTGCAGGCAAGTCATGCAAGTGGATGGCAGCCAGACTCTCTGAATTACTGCTAACACAGGTCCGGAACTCACGGCACTTTTAGAGGGACTCTGTCCACAAAGGGCCCGTCCCCAATCGAATTGCTGATATGACACTTGAGGGGCAGCCTGAGGCGGCTGGGTCAGGTAAGGACCTTTCCTGTGGATATATTTAATAATGCCATAACGTGATCAACCCAATTTTAGTGACTTGACTTGGACCACGAGGCATCAACACATGAGTCTTTGTGACCATCTGCATATTGGTTTCAGTTTTAAAAACATGGTTTACTCAAGATCATGTATAAAATTTCCTTGAGAAATTGCTCCGCTTTGTATTGTTTTTAGGGATAAAATTAGTGTTGAGAGTATCTTTTGCTCATGTGGAACAAGCCGAGGAACAGAAATTGCACCCAAGAGGCAAAATACAGCATGCTTACTACAACATGTCATCATTAGTTATAATAATTGAGAAACGTTTATATATTAATGGGCTACCAAAGTTAAAAGGTAGGAAGTCATCTCAGTCATACAGTGCAACATGGTGGCAAGCAGTTTCTTTCAAAATTGTGTATCTTTCTCTCTACCTTAAAAGAGACAGCCGAACGGCAAAGTCTTACACTCCCTGTAGCTTTTGATATAATTAGGAAAATGGTAGACGGTCCTTCAGCTGAAAACTCTGCAAAGTAACTGGTTAGAGAATGTGGAATTTTTAATTCAACCTTTAAAAATTTAATGAATACTTTATTATTTAATTAAAGCTATATACTAGGAAGTGTTTTCTTTTGTACAACTGAGACCCTACTGGTTTTAAAGCAAATTCTCTTTTGCTTCTGAAATAATACAAGGCCTCTCTCTCTATAAGATGGGCCAAACAGGAAACGGTGACTTCCCAATATAATTTTATGGGAACATTAAAGAAAGCTACTGGGGATCCAGAAATCGACCAGCACCTTCAATCCTGCTTTCATGCTACTGTCACAGGTGGCGAGTTCCTTAAAAGAATCTGGGGCTCCACAAACAGTAGGCAACTAATATGTACCCTAAAACCTCTACCCATGATCAATTGCAGATTTCCACCCCAAATGGGACAGAACAGAAACAAACATTTTCACTAGTGTTCAGGGTTCTTTTTTATTTGTGTTGTTCACATAGATAAAAGTAAGGCTCCTTTTTTATGGGAAAGATCCATTGCAAATACACTCTGTATAATGAATCAACAAAGACATTTAGAATTGAGTCAAGTATACTGCATTTGAAATTCAGCATTATAAATATTCAGGATTAGTGAATTTAGCTAAGAAAATAAGACTACTAGAAAGGAACAGCTAATAATTTATAATTTTTTTTTTTTTTTAAAAAGTGCTCTGGGAAAACACACAGTGTAGCCGCTTCAAAAAAAAAAAAAAAGCCATTTGGGGAAGACTCCCGGGCATCAAGTGGAGTGGGCTTCAGACTAAAAAATATCTGTAAATTTTCCAAAAATTGAAGTGTTAAAAATAGTCCTCTCCTTATTCAACTTCATGTTTAAGGAAATATGTGACAGACAAGTAAACAAAGACAACAAAAGTTTACCTGGATTTAAAACAATAAATTCTAGATCTGTAAAAATTTCCTGGTTTGTACAGAAAGGCCAATGACTGACCTTCATTGATCCATTTCTACATAGCTATAAAAATACAGTATCAAATCTTTTTCCAGTTCCCCTACAACTGGGGGAAATATTCTAAGTGGCGAATGTGCGGATGTAGCTGTGCGTATCCCCAAGGGTACAAGCACAGGTCACTTTTCTAGGAAAATTATTGTCTTTGTAAACATCTCTCTTCTACATCTGGACATTTCAGAATCGTCTTTGGTATTTCTAGGTGCTGAGCGTTCAGACAGAAACCCCCAGGGTCTCTACCGCGGTACTACATAGACATCTTAAGACATAAATAAGGAAAATGCACTTGGAATAAGTTACAATTAGCTGCTTTTGCATAATTTTCAACAACTACAGTGTACGCCTCGTCACAGTTTCATGAGGAAGAATATGTCCTTTTCAACTCCTTAGCTTTAAGGAACACTTAATCATTTTGGCTAAAAATCCATTTTTGGAGTAGGTCTGCTGGGTTGCATGGCACTAAGTTTGGATGCTCGCCATTTGCTGAAAGGCACATCTTAAACAATGGATTATACAGAAGTTGGTCCTAGAAGAAAAGGAAGCACATAACATACGTTAAGTTTTAATGATTTACAGCTAAAAATTAGATATGAAAATGACTTTACGGTTTCTCTAAAGGTATAGGGAGATTTGCACAACAAACATGTCTGATTTCTCAACCTTAAATCTAAGGTCAACTAAAGCTGGTAAAGTATTGATGACTTTTGTTCATAATACTATAATTCAGTTTACTGCTATTTAGTCAAGGTGAGTCATTTCAAAATTGAAGAGGAAAATAGACAGCAAATCTGAAATACTTTTCCAGACATGAAGCAGTCCACTGGTATTCCAAGTGACCAACTTCCAAATCAGAAAAACCAGTCTTTTGGTATGCTATTACTACACAAAACTAGATTTAGAGAAAAAGTTCTATGATCAAGCTAAATCGTAAACATATTTAAGGACAGGCAATCTGCCATGTAGTCTTTTGATTCTAGACTAATTTAAAATGTGCTAAAATGGAGAAAGACATAGTTAGCAATTCTATGTGAGAAACACACTTTTTTGTCCCGTTAAGGAATAAACATGGTTTTCAAAGACTATTGTAAAAATTCTTTAAAAGTCAAGGATAAGGAACTAATTAATAGTTTATAACTAGGCAGTGGTGGCATATGCCTTCAATCCCAGCACTCGGGGAGGAGAGGCAGGTGAATCTCTGTGAGTTTGACACCAGTCTGGTCTTACAGAGTGAGTTCGATAGCCAGGACTGTTTTACAGAGAAACCCTGTCTCAAAAAAACAAACAAACAAACAAATATATAAATAATAGAAGTTTTTCACCTGCTTAAGACAGGCTTCTGCTTTATGATTAGTTGCTCTCACAGGTATTTAATCCCTAGATATATTCTCTTATCACAGAGGGAACACATAATAATAGTGGAACTATTGAAGGTGAAGTAATTTGATATATGGCACAGTAAAGCAATTAGAGCTATTCAAAGTAATCTAGTGAATGGCTGAATGAGCCGCGGTCAGTCACCTTCTGAATCTCCCATATCTGTTCTCCGGGGGCGATTGTCCTGTGACCTTTGTAGACACACGCCTTCAGCTGGACGACCCCCTGAGTAGCATGAAGACATAACTCCTTCTGGATGTTGTGCCGGATTTCACGCTGAGCCGAGTACTCAAAGTACTGTGGGAGGGACAGTGACATCATTGACAAAGGTACCCGTATGCTCATGTGCAAAAGAGAACAAGATGAAAACCAACCAGCTCCCTACTAAACAGTAAACTCCTGAGGTCTTCAACAAACATGATACAAAGATCAGAAACGTAAGCAGGGTCCCTGTGACAGAAGACATCAAACTTTTGCTCTTGTCCATTGCCCTCAGGGATTACTCCCTAAATATGGGACTCCTTCCTTTCCAAACTAGAAACTGCAAATTGCATGGCGGAATGGAGGCCGGCAGAAAGCAGCCCGCACAGTTCTGGAGACCAGTTAACTGGCTGCTGCTTCTCTCTCCCCCACAACAATCCTTCTCTCGTTCACCTCAACTGAGTCATTTGCACTAACCCGCAAGCTATCATGGACTCTCAGAGCCTGTTTCTGTCCCTGTGAGATGGGTATCAACCGCCCCTGCCCAAAGAATTCTTGAAATCACTAATTGAATGTGTTGATAGGTGTAGAGTATTTTCAGCAAAGACCAACGCGCACGCGTCAGCACTTGATATGCTGTAGTTCTTTACTAATGTGTGTCTCCACAGTCAATTAATGAGTCTCTTAAGTTCTGCTGAATTTTCTTCTCGGATGTCATTTCATTCGTGCCTACTCCTCCATCCTCACTTCTCTGACTCAGATCACCTCTCTTAATTTATCCTGCAGTGCCAACCTCTGACCCAAGGATGCATGGATAGCGTCAGCTGCTTGGAAGCCCTTTAAAGCTCTGGTCTGATAAACTGGCTTAACGAAAATCACCTGTATCGGTCAAGGCTACCCCGCCCGCTATCTGACACGTGCAAGGTTCAGGACTTACCCTCACGGCAGCCACTGCCTCAGCTGTAGCAGACCGTGCTCATTTAATATAAACCAACCTCTAAAGAATAACCCAAGAGTTCACTCAATTGCCAGGCTGTTGTTTGGAAATCCTGTGACCCTTTCCTGGTTTGCTAACTCTTTTTCATTCCTTAAGGACTAGATCAATTCCCATTTTACCTCTTTCTTTCTCCTCAGTTTTTACCTTGATGGAAAACTATAACTTTCGAGGTTTCCACAGGAAACCAGAGCTAGCCTGTCCTATGCTACTAAAATTACAAGTGGGGCTAGCTGGATTCTCTGTGAGCCAAGGCTAAGCACTGTATTAACTAGAGACAGTCACTGTCGTGGCAGGCACTTTACCGGCTGAACTATTGTCCCGGCCCCATAATAACATGCCTTATAAATCAAATATTTAATAATGTTGGCAGTCTAAGGATGAAATGAGTTAACATAATTGATTATCAATAATGCAATAATGCCTGTTAGCACTAATATTTATAGAGCCCTTAATATATGCTAGGCAGGCACTGTGCTAGAGCAAACAATCCTGAAACATTAGCAGAATCCAGAGCCTTCATCCCAAGCTCCTTGTCTCAGTCTCGTACTTAATTTCTCTTCTCCTACCAGTAAAACATTAAGTTGGTTTTATAACAACTTCCCAGGTGGAAGCACTGGAGAAAGTAGCTGAAGAAGGAGAAGGAAAGAGCATTCTAACTATTCCTAAGTAATTTAAACTAAGATAAGCCTTAAGAACTCAAAGACGAGAAGAAAGGCTATTACATATTATTTCAGGGTCACTAAGATGAAACTTGGAAGGAAAGGAAAATAGTTGAAAATAATTTGGTAACAAGGACAAAGTAAATAAGTAACCAGCTGAAATTATGGGAGAGACATGCCCCTCAGAACTTGGAGGCATGCTCTAGAATGTGCATGAAATATTAACTGTCATAAGGCTGTAATGATATAACTGCACTGAACCAGAACAGTCTCCAATCCAGCCACAGGACAAAAATGGTTACTTTGCTTTGCATTCAGAAATGCTCTCAGAAAAGGATTGCATGTCATAAAACACCATTAAACGATCAAAGTGGAAGAAAAGGAGAAAATGCTCAAATTAAATGAGACATCTGAATTTGAGTTCTCAAGGAACTAAAATTTGCTAAATAGTTGAGGGAAATAATTGATTAAAAAAAATAGACTGCCTGAAAGTGAGTTGAACAAGGATGACACCAGTAGACATGCCAAAGTAGACAGGGAAAAGCCCCCTGAGGCCTCAGCCCTACTTACAGAACCACAGGCAACAAAGGAAAGCTGGGAAAAACACATCAATTGGCTGTTCAGTGCCAAACATACATACAAGTAATATTATACAGAGTAAAAAGGTTATATTTAGGTATTTACATGTATACACATATATGCATGCAATAGCAATTAGGGAAAAAAGAGCCCATGAATCTGAGGGAGAGTGGGGAGGCTTATATGAGAGGGTAGAAAGGAAAGGGGGAAATGTCAAAATTTTATTAAATCTCAAAAATAAAAAATGAACACGTAAAAGATATAAGTGTGTTAGGATGACAGAAGCCAGAGCCATCTTAAAATACAAACCAGATCACATTATTCGCCTACTCAAAAACCTCTTGATGGCTTCTGTTGAGTTCAGAATCAAATCCATCTTCCTTAATAGGTTTGCAGAGCTCTATACAACCAGGTTTCTTATCAGAATCTCTGACCTCATTTCCCTCGCTCCTTGCCTAGACCACTGTGTGCTGGCCATGCTGGCCTGCTGTATTCTCTGAACCTCTCCTACATGGCTGCTCTCACCCAGACCTCCTTCGAGATGCTCTCCTCCCCGAATGCTTGACTCCATCTCAGATGACTGCTCCAGAAAGATCTTCTTTAACTCCAAGTCCATCCTCTGAATCCATCCCTCATATTATCTCTGCCTGCTCTATCTTTTTTAGCACCCCCAAATTACATTATAGTCTTCACTTCTTATGAAAAAAATGCTTCTGTGACACAGGCTTCACAAGGTCAGTCAGTGACTGTCAAATCTTGCAACAGGACAAGTTGTACGATGAAGTTATACAAATATTTTTAATAACTGAATTTTCACCTCATATTTATTAAAGACAGCCTATTCTATCGATCATTTAAAATTAATTTTATAATTTGCTACAAACATATCTACATGGAAAAAGATAATAGAAAAGCATAAAACTAACACTCAGACACTATATTTTTAAGATAGTACCCTGCAGCAAATTATTACAAAAATAGTAGTAATAATGCATTTTAAGATAATTATTATTCTGGAGAGACCTTGAGAGAAATGTCTAAGTATTAATAATCATGATAATATATTTACAAATGAGGAAACAAGCAAATTGTTATCTACAAAATAACAATTATTTCTATAACTATTCTTATGTAGAAAGAAAGGAAAAAATGAGAAGATTGTATATAGTCCACTAAAGACTAATTAGGCTGAATTTAATGAATAGAAAGATGTGCAGAAGCAGACTTGCCAGGAGACACATTGATCCTTTCTTCCTAACGCTGATACTTTCTTTCAGAGCCCTGTCGAGGTATGTACACAGTAGCACAAACATGCAAGCCTGTGAAAATCCTGGGTCAACATCCAGGCAATTCCCAGAAAGGAAAAAGTTCTAGATGTTTCTCTTTGTGTATCCTTCCTCACACTCTGCTTATTTCCTTACCATCCCACTAAACACCTCTCAACATAAAGTCTCAGATGACATCTTTCTCAGGAAAACCCACGGACACCTCATCTAATCCTGAGGTGGTTTGATCCATCCACAGAGCCCCTGGACTCCTTACTCCTGACCTGATGTTACTGACTGCAGATGCTGGTTCTACAGTGTGGGTTCCTACTGGAGCTCGGAGCCAGTGGATGAAGCTCACCCAGGGCTCAGTCAGGGAACTCGCTGACTGACTGTGGAGAAAGACAAATCCTTCTCTAAGCTAACTTGCTAAGGATAAAGGTCAAAATAAGCTAAAAGCTAGAAACTTAATAATTTCTACAACTTTAGCAGGCTAGGTAGTAACAGATCACATTTGCTCTTAATAGAAAAAAATTGAGAGGAAACAAGAATGTCAGTAATCAAAGAGACAAAAATGGGGGTCGGTGAGAAACAGCATTTAGATTCAGTGTCTGAAACAGTATCTCTGCCCTCAAAGGACTTTATAAGGCAGCTGTGCCAGCATTATCACTGGAAGCAATTTGCTATTACAGTTAATACTGCCTTCCCCTCCATGACTCCCAAAGCCTCCATCCCGACAGTCACACAAGCGTCGAAGGCTATATTAAACATACACAACATCAAATAACATTATTCTGCTTAATTTTCGGTCTCCTTTCTATTCATCAAGTGGGTAACTGCATGGCCGTGTGCCTTAGTGTCAAGCTGAGCTGTGACTTCCAAGGAACACACAGCACCTGACCATGTCCGGAAGCGCTCACCTGGTTTCCGCCGAGTCCATGGCACGTGTACAGAATCAATGGTTTGCCTCCCTGGTTATTTTCACCAACATCCAGACACAGAGGTTGACCGGCACTCTTAATCTAAGTAAAAAGATTTAAATTCCATCAAAATAAAAAATAAAAACAAACTGCGCAGTTTTTATTTTTCAATTCATTTCAGGGAAGTGGCGTTAATAATGGAAAACTCCAAAAGCAGTAAGTTAAAAGGTACATGGGAGGAAATTTATCAAGGAAAAAGGGGAACATAAAAATACTCACATATCCAGATATAACAGGATTAAGGTCTGGTACATACACTTCTGGGTAAACGGTATTCAGGTACCATGTAAAATTTTTACACTGAAGGCGTTTCTTTATCTCAAATCTTTTCGAAAGATCACCAAATGATTTCTGCAAACAGATGAGAGCATGAAGGGAGTTCTCAATCAAATCAGCTCTGATGAATCCTTCATACGGTCCTATCTGCATTGACATTTAGGTATTCGGTAAAACTCTGGATGCAGGACGAACAATAAATGGACCATTCGTTCAAGCAACGGGTGTGCTGCCTGCCTGGTCCCTGGTGGTTAAGAGAATCAAGTCGCCCTGGAGGGCTGTAATACACTTCACTTGTGGACAGGACGTCTAAAGAAGAAAGGTCTCCCCAAAATGCTGAGGATGTGGGGCTGATTGTGGGAGAATTCTGAACTCATCCCACCTCTTTACTTAAAAATGACCCGGAGAGCGAGGTGTGAGGAAACACGTGCAGACACACAGTGCGAAGACCCAGTGAGATCAATATCTCTTGTAGTCAAGTGCAAAAGAGTAATCCCCAAACCGCACAGTCGGGTGTGTTCTAATTTAACTGTTTTAATCTTAACCAAATTCCCAACTGGACCTTGAGTTGAAAAAGGCATTTTTGAGTTAATTGTATTTTATTTTCCTTTATTTTCAGGGGCAAGGGAAACAATTAAAAATGCCTGAATTTTATAACACTGTTTAATCTTATTCTTTTAGGAGAGCATGAATAAGTTATATACACATTTATTATGACTATTTTATGATTATTATTATTACTATTATTTGTGTGTGTGTGTGTGTGTGTGTGTGTGTGTACATGTGCCATGGCACATACATGCGAAGTCAAATGACAACTTAGAGGAATCGGTTTTCTCCTTCCATGGTGTCGGTCCCAGGGATTGAATTTAGGTCATTAGGCTTGGTGACAAGTTCCTGCACCAGGTTGATGGCCCTAACCTATTTATTTTAAGGTTTAAAGTTTAAAAGCCTACCTTCAAAAATACTTTTTAAATGCCCCCCCACAAGGTGATTCAAACAAACAAACAAACAAAAGAAAGGCTTATGGACTTGGACTTGGGATAGTCGTCAACTGTCGTTGCATTATTTGGCTCTCACTTACTTGCTTAACGATTTTTGCTGCATCTGTGTTTCTCCTATAAAATATTTCCTTGTATTCATCCATCCAGACTTCTGCAAGGCGAACTTGGTTGCGAGCAATCACCTGCGTGCCTTTTGGGAAGGTATGAGGGCTTTTGCTGCGAAAAACATGTCCAACAACAGAGCAAGGCATAATCTCCAACTGCCCACCACATTGCCACACCTGATAATTAATGATATTTGTTTAAATTTACAGTATTTTGGGGAAAAAAAACTGTTGCTTTAAGTTTACCTTTAAAATATCAATAAATACAAAATATAGAGATTTATTAGCATGTTACAAAGTCTCTATGTCAGCTCAATTTATGCTCCATAAATGTAGACAATGGTTTTAATAAATGAAATGAGAACTACAGAGAACAAACGCACATCTTCAGAAAGCAGGTTTTACAGGAGCATGGGTTCTGAGCCCTTCATAAAAACTAATTCCAAGTTTTCTTTTTGGCCAATAATTATGCAAGTGTTCTAATATGCAGAGAAAAACAAGGCTCTCTGGTGTAGCTGACGTCCCCCTTAAACACATGGCCACTTACTGAAACGACACACTTTTTCCTAAGAAATGAACTAACTGTCTGGGTAGAAAGGAACCCAGACTCTATTTACTCCTTGGATATTCAATTTGGTATTAATGAAAACCATCCGAGAAAGCTATCATTGCCAGAGTGTAACCTGTTATATTTTCAAAGGAGTTTTTCATATTAAAAAGCCTACGTCTATGTAGAATGTGTCTAAAATTTGTGGTATTTCTAAGTAAAATGTCCTACTGGTTAGGTCCGCCATCAACAATCAGTAAGAAAAAAACCCTAAAACGAAGTCATGCTCAAAAGTGGACGCTAGAACTGAGACAAGTGGTCGAAACCTCTTCTTTTCCCCATTTAAATAAATGAAATGGCTCAGTGACACGTTCAGTTCAACAACCTGCACTGAGACTCAGGAGTCAGCTTTAAAAAGACCCTTGCCCTTCAGCAGTTCAGATGTGGCAGGGCCCAGAACTGCCAGTGTGCAATGGAGCCAGAGCCAACACATAAACCCAATTCCCAGGGCTTTCCCCCACCACATTCCAACCTGAACGACAAAAAGTGAGTGACATGGTTACCACAAAAATGAGGTCATGAAGTTGAATATATTAAGCACATGTCATGACTACTAAAAGCCTGTTTAGCTTATATTAATTTATGACATGCATTATGAAAAGAACAGTTCATATGATGCAAAGAGTTCAGCCTAGTGTCCTTTACACTTATAAATAAATGTTTTCCATACTGACTCCCTTGATAATCAACTCATTTCCTGAAGCACTAGGTTTAATTATATTTATCTTGGCTGGAATTCAGTAGCTACAAGTGCATTAATTGGTGTTATTGCCTGGACACAGGAGTTTAACTGATTCCTCTTGTTACACTGGCAACCATGAATAAATATATCAAGTTACAACTTAAACGGAAATAGCCTCATTGCCAATTTTCCAGCAATTACATTATAGCAAGCATTAAACACATAAAGACAGCATACATCTGCAACGGTCCGTGTGAGCCGATCAGAACACAATACATCACACTGTTTGACATGGATGCTATGTTTAATCTCCATAAACTTACTCTGAATGACATTTCTATATTTTCACCTCCCCAGATTTCCATTTCTTCATCGTAACTTCCAATATGCTCAAAATATTCTTTAGATATAGAAAATAGGCCTCCTGCGAAGGTGGGGGTCCTAAAAAGAAACACATCGCCAAAGTTGGGTACAGAAATTGAACAGGCTGAAAGGCTGTTTAAAGAACCAAACCGACAATAGGGGTGAAGAGATAGTAAATTTAACTCTTTTATGTAGATACAGAACAGCTGAAAATTCTTTCCTCACAGTTAAGGTTGTAGGGGAAGTAAGAACTTTAAAAATATCATCTTCCGTATTATTGTTTCTGTCCTTAACCTGCTTTAATATTCTTAAACTATAATTTATGAGGACACGAGAATTCACCTAATCTCAGTGGTTTCTCCTATTGTGCAAAAGAGCATCGCACATTACTAGTCTACGTATAGAATGTGTTTTTTTGTTGTTGTTATTAAGAATTATCACACAAGCAACGACTGTGAAAACACATGTGCACACGCAGCGTCCGGTGCTCCTGGCATGAAGGTAAGACGTGGCGGCGGCAAGCAGCTTACTTGATTGGGTAGGTTTCATCTTTCCTCCTTTGCTTCTCATGGTCAGGAAGCGATTCCCAGCCGAAGGAGAGGCTCCAGTCAAAGTTTCCACGGTTATGGTTGCTTCCATATGGAGAAGGCTTGTTGAACTCAAATGTGTTTAGATCTATGGATGCAATGTCTGGGCTCACCACGGCAGTGTAGTTCTCGGCTATTCTGGCCAGCAGAGGCTCCAACCAACCATAGAAGCACTCACCTGCCCGAAACAGAAGCTACGGTCAAGTTCATGGAAATGGTGAAAGAGTTTTTCTTTGATAGTACAGGAAAGTTTATAGAGAAATTATAAAGAAAAGATCATCTGTGTTCTGAATATACACGCATGGGTGATTTCTTTCATCTTAATTATAATAGGTAAAATGATGTAATTAAGAGTATATGGTGTGTTTTGATACACACACAGTAACATATTGTTAAAAGTTTACTGTTAACAAGCTAATTAAGGTGTCTACCCATCACCTCATGTGGGGGGCTAGGGAAGAGAAGGGGGATAAGTGAGACCCACTTCTAGCCATTTTAAAGTACGCAACACAGTATTAACTATAGACACCATGCTGTACAATAGACCTCTATACACAGGGACTTCTCAAGGGCTCTTATTGTGAGAATAGGTTTAAAGAAAAAAAATAAAATCAGAAAAATTCTCCTAACAGATGAGATTTTCCTCCTAGCATAGTAGACGGGCTCCAATGTATTGACCATCCTTGTTATGGGAGCCCTTTTCCTTTAAGATAAACTTTCCACTTAACCCTAAAATTATTTTAGCTTATTTAAATTTTTTGTCCCTTTGACCCAATAAGGAAGAGTAACTGAAAGCTTAATTTTTCTTCCTGGGTCTTAGGTGAAAGTAAGTCAGGAAGTTAGGAGACTCTGAATTCAGTGACTAGAGAAAATCATCCAAAGCTACTATAGTCCCGATGGAGGTGGGAGAGGAGCGGAGAGTCCCACGAAGGTCAGAATTATGTTCTTCGTCCACACCACACCAGGTCACTCTCCTTCCCACAGCTAAATTTGTCAGCCGTGGCCTGAAAGCATCATCGCCCAGCAGAGAAGAATGCCAAGTCAGATCTTACCGCATTTTGGATCAGAAAAAGAAATACTAGAGAGTGACGTGGTCCTTTGAGAAACTTCCAGATCTCTATTCAGTTTCCAAAGGTTGGCATTGTATCCTAGCAGATGCAATGGCTCTCAACAGACAGCAACCCCAAAGCCTTTCCGTGACAGTTAGTGAATGCTTCAACCAGTTCTCGGGTGGCGGGTCACCTCCGAGCTAGGCAGTTTCAGTTCAAGCATTCATAGGAAGAGCAAAACTCCCCAAACTTACAGCGCCAGGGACCAAACAGCATTTGTTAATACCTAGCATATCCATTGTACATGGATGAGACAGCAGGATAGCCTTGCTGGGCAGAATAGATTCAACAAATCTTTAGCAGAAAACAAAACAAAACACCCTATAAGCGTTACAAGTGGCAGTATTGAGACAAAGTTCAATGATAGTACTGATCATGACCAAACTTAGATAAAAATTTAATCTCACAGTGTAGGAATGAAAAACTGCAAAAAGAAACTCCTTTTGCTCTTCCTTTTACTTAGGGCAGAAAGAACATCTTGGGTGAGGGAGGAGCCCTAAGTAAGAATCACCCGCGAGGAAATCCAGGTGTTAAAAACACTGAGAAGGTAAGGGCTCTTTGTGTGAAGTTCGTAAACAGAGCCATTAGCCGCTAGGCCTGCCAGAGCTACCATCAGTAACACATGCTATTCAGAGGAATACCGCGAGATATCTAAAGCAAAGTCGCTTTGAGATGAAGGGGCAGAGGGAGAAAGTTACAAGCCATCTGTGCACAGGCACTTACAGTGAGCATCCAAAAACGTGAGCGTCTCCGCAGTTGCTACTGCTGCCCCGAGCAACCGAGCAGTGATGAGACCTTTTCTTTCTTGCTGTCTGACTATTTTCACTATAGAAAATTGTTTGATATAGTCCTCTAGTTTCTCATGTAAGTAGTCTGTAAAGAAGAAAAAAAAATTCCAGTTAACTTTTTTTTTTTTAAAAAAAAAAAAAGTATTTATTTTTCTATCTAACATCTGAGAGCTAATGAAATCACCAGGCAGTGACCCTTCTAAATCTATGTCAACATTTGCTCGTTCGGCCGGTCAAAGTAGCATTCCATTACCTTTGAGTCTCTGAGGAAAATGAGACTAAGTATACAAATTATAACTCGCCTCATGCCTAAGGTTATAATTTGGACTTATTCTGTCCACTTCATAGAAAATACGTGTATCATGTTAGGAGCGGGGGAGAGGCCGACATGGAGTGGACCCCAGCGAAGAGAGTTTAGAAAGCTCATACTAAGAACTGAGCTGAGTGACTTTCAGAGTCAGAGAAACAGATTTTAATTAAAAAAAATTCAACCAATATTTAAACTGGCACTAAAATTTGAGAACCATGACAAGGGATGCCAGGCACTCAATATGGTTCACTAGCCACCGGTGAGACAGTGGTCAAAGCAGCTCACTACCCACATGCCAAGCAAAGGGCAAGCAGGGGATGCATAGGGCAGTGGTAAGTTGGGGGTCACTTCGCCGTCAGTACAAACTTTAGGCCTCTCTTGGATTCTTTTCCAAGAAAATAGGAAACTATGAAGGGGCGTTTAAGTCAGGTCGCTAAAAGCAGACAGAGTTCAAGTAACATACATGACTTAGAATACTAACCACTGGATGAGTTAGGTAAGATGGCTGGATGAGACAGGTAAAGAGCAAAAGTGGAGGCAACAGGTAAAAGATTTCTGGGCATCTTCAGGAAACCCTTTCACCATCAGACTGTTTCTGTCGCAGTGGGCATTTTGTTTGCTCCAGACATGGTCTTGCCAGACGTGGCTGGCCTGGATAGCGTGGTCCTCGGGCCTCAGTCTTGGCATTATGGCCTTATACCAAGGCGTCTAGCTTGCCATTACATTCTTCAGTTATTGTTAATATGTAATTCAGCTTAAGCGACCCAAACTACGTAGGACCCAAGTTCAATTCCCAGCATCCACATGCTGGCTCACGACTGTCTGTATCTCTGCTCTCTGGGGGATCCGACCCTCTCTTCTGGCCTCTTTGCACTGCATGCATGTGATGTACAAACATACATGAAGGCGCAAACACCCCCACTTAAAAGTGAGAAAATTATTATTTTTTTTTTTAAAAAAAACCAAACATCTGAAATATGTTCAAATTCCTATCTGCTCCCTAAATTTTATCTAACCCATATTCCGTTTGGGGAAGCACAAAACTACATCAAATCAGAGGTCCTGGGTTAGAGGACCATTCCTTTGATCTGTTTGACCTTGGAAAAGTTATTTTACCCTTTCTGTATTTTAGATCTCGTATCTGTAGGGAGGATGTGACAAAGGCAGTGCAGGTACAGTTGGGAGGAGGAGAGGGACCCAAGGAGACAGCAGGACACAGGCTCTATCAGGTGGCACTACTCTGAACATGTCAGCTCTGGTTGTTGCCTTCACTAGGATTTAACTACCTTATTGGTACCCAAATATCCTCATTTTCATTCTGCTTTTCCTCAATAAACTGCTACCAGGGACTAGTTTTTACTTCACAGATATGTGGGTGTGGGTATGTGTGTATGCCTGTGCATGTATGTCCGTGTGCGCATCTTTTCTGAAGACAGGCTAGCATCCTAGGCTAGCTCTGAACCCCTGAGCCTCTTGCCTCAGACTGAGTGCTGGGCTCACAGGTGTGCAGCACCTCCTAGCTGTTCCGTTTCCACACAGTCAGACTTTCCAAGTGGGTGCTCGGTGGGTGGGTTTCAGATGGAGTCTATGAGACAAACTACAAGAGCACTGAAGCATACGTTTTGTTAGGAAAATGGCTCAAGTTTATCGTCAAGTACTTATCACTATTACAAAAGGGAGCAGGCCTTTTTGGCAAGCAGATGTCCTTCTCTACCCTTCTCTAGAGGTGAAGGGCCGAGGAAGCTGAGGGACTCAAGCTCCTCTAGTCCCTGCTACATGACAGGCAGTGATGCTGTGGGGTAAAGACACCACGAGACATGGGTGGGGGAATGTGTCTGGCTCATTAAAGAGAATTTTCTGAAGGCCAAAACGGGGGGGGGGGGCGGGCCTAACCATGATGTTATGTGAGAATGTTAAACTTTAAATCAGTATGAGTCTAATGTAATTAGGTAAGCCTTATGCTTACTTTGAAAGTGATTAGGAAAGAAAGCAAACAAGAAATGGTTGAAACAGAAAGACAATGAACGGGTGTGTCTTCGTTCCCACGTCCTTTGCTTCAATGGTTGTTTGAGCTTTCAAATAAAGATGCATGTTTCCACTGAACGCCCTGCTGGAAGTAAATCTGCCATGCCTGCATTGTCTCACACTGGGGACAATCTAGCAAAATAAAAACCATCTCCAAAAAGGCATTCAAAAAATCAAAGGGGGAAAAACTAACTATGTTAGTGTTGTGTTTGGTGTTTTTTTTTTTTTTTTCCCCAGGTAAACTTATAGGGGATGAAAACCTTAATCAAGCATGACTTAAAACCTACTGGCTGCTGTCCAACCAGACAGGAAGAACCACAAAATCGGATTATAGAGCAAAATACCAGTTAGTTACAATTAAGTGGTAAAGTAATAGGAAAAGGTATTAGAAATTCAAAGATCTCTATAGTGTGTAACTTCATTTCCTCTTCCTTCTCTTGCTCCATCCTGATTTTTTCTATCTGACTGTTTGCTGTAGCCCCAGGCAGCAGCTGGCAGTGTAGGGAGGCAACACCACGTCTAATTGATGGAGTCTAACTTGAATCCAGGAGACACGAATTATAAAACTTCTTCATTTGGAGACCTGGTCTCACGTTCACTTAAAAAAAATCTCTGGAACTGAACAACTTTTTTCTTCTGCACAAATGTTTCTCTGTGTTGAGAACATAACCTTACTCTATTCAGAGTGAGTTTATCTGGAAGCCATGGAAATACACAGAATTGCATGTAGATGTGATGAGCTAATAGTTTCATTTTATGGCCACTGATTACCATGTTTGGACTAGAGATACAAGCAACGTAACCTAATGAGTACCTGCTTTTCCTTTTCTCATGTACATAAATGATGGTATATGTAACAGCACTTTGGATTTGGTGGGGGTGTGCTGTACCCATTTTACAAATGAAGAAACAAGTGGGAGCTGGGATTAAGCCTTTGGGAATCTAACTCCAGACCTGTGTTTATACAGAGGTCAAATTTCGAAATCACTGAAATAAATTGTTCTTTACTTACAGTAATTGTAACTTTAAAAAAGTAGAGACCATATTTATAGACTTATGATTCCAATTTAAGATATCTACCTTAGTATCTGATTATGATTAGAAACAAACATTCAAAGGCCACTGCTAATTTTGAAAGCAATGCTAAATTAATTTTTTTAAGAGCCCAGGTCTACAGGCACACTTCACACACAGCAGTCGCCTGGCATGCCTGAGGGCTGTGTTGGAGCCTCACCACTACAATGGGGGGAAACGCTCAAATAAAACAGAACGGAGTGACAGTGTGGCATCAGGGGCTCACGACCATTACCTATGAATTACGGTACTCACATGGACTCCTTCACATTGAAAAACCCAGTTAGGCTCCAGTTCTCAACCACACCATGGGATGTGTCGTATAACCAATTGCGTAGTCATTAAATTCGCTGTAGTTTTCCCTTTCGGTGGATTAAGGTAATGACATAAATTTGGCACAGCATGGTATTCTCTCCATTTTATGAATAAAGAAACCGGGCCGAAGTGTAGATGTGACAAATTCACACAGCTGGTTCGGACTGGAGGTGGGGCTCCAGCCCAGACAGCTGTACTACAAGGCTCACATCTGTGTTCCTCACCACCGCGCTCTATAGTGAAAGCCACATCCCCTAGGACTACACTTATGAAGGTCGCTGTTCAGAGAGTCCTACAACCCACAGTGTTCCAACACGGCACCCTAGAGCTCACACATCACCATTCGCCACGCCACCCAACCACTTCAGGTTCCGAGACGTTCCCCAGGGAGTACGACGCACACCAGGCAGGCTTTGGCCGTGAGCACAAGGATTCACGGGTAAGCATCCACTCTCTTACCGTCTACGCTGGCGTCGTCCACCAGGATGATCTCCTTCAGCAGTATCGCGGGTGAGGAATAGAGCACGCTGTGGACCGTGCGGAGCAGCGTGGACCACGCTTCGTTATGAAAGACTATTATGACGCTGGTGGTAGGCAGGGGAGGGCAGCGCTTAAATTTCTGCTCAATACATCTGGGAGAAGTTAAAGAAGGGGGAGAGCAATGCTGACTTCTCCTGACTTATTTCACCATTTCTAGACCATCGCTAAGTCATCATCATTGAATCATTATCACCCCAAATGACGGCAACTCAAATAAATAAACATAGATGAATAAAGCAACTCAAATAAACAAACAGAACCAAATAGACAGCAATGCTTATCATATGTGAAAGTATCTTAATGATTCATAAGCATAACTAGGTTGAAGCAAAGTTCTAGAAGCAGTTCCTTCCTCCTAATCACGCTCACTGATACAGACGACATGGGTCAGGTTTTCTACACTGTCTGATTTTAGAAAGAGATATAACCCATAAATGAAGCAACATGTAAAAATCAATATGTCTAACTACTGTTCAATAATTTTTTTCTTGCTTATGTCACACATTGCTCTTATTTAATTTAGACTATATAACTTCATTTTCCAAGTTAATTTAATCAAATTTACCTTATATAAGGAATCAAAACAAGAAGTAAGCTCACCACAAAACCTAGGTTCTTATCATCAAATGCTTAGGACCATTTGGCTGTGTTAAGGAATTCACTCTGAAAATGTGCTTTGCTATTTGATTAGGACCTATCATTTTCAAATTATCTCTTAATAGGACATACATAGAAATTTAAAGATCTATGTATCCATGTTCAAAGGTTTATGCTGGGCCAGTCATGACAGTACATGACTTGTGAACCAGCATTTGGAGCAAGAGTCAGGTGAATCTTTGTGAGCTTGAGGCGAGTCTGGTCTACATAGCAAATTCCAGGTCAGCCAAGGCTACATACTCAGACCCTATCTTTAGGAGGAAAAAAAAAAAGTCTTGTGCATATAACCATCTGTTACATTGATATACACAGGGAAAGGATTCCTAAGCGGTCTTGATTTGATTAATTAGTGCTACTATTAATTACCTAAAAGCATTGGTTACAGATTGTTATCCAATTCACTTTTGTAACATTGTCTTCCTCCTAGAACCATTATTTTCAAACTAATTCAGACAGAAAGGCAACGGTGGCTGGGTACAGCCTACAGCCCTTGAGAGGAGACGCCATGACGGACACAGTCGCCAGTCTTTGGAGTGAAGGTGAGGACAGAGCGAGGCATTTACAACCCAGGGCATGACATTAAATGTGTGTGGTCTGTGAAGATGATAAGCTGACAAGACAAAAGTGTCTATAAGGTCACTGAAATGTCACGCAGGACTGCTCCATTTGAGGCAGTAGACTATACCGTTCCCCCACCCTATAAAAACAGCATGCAAACAATCAAAGATTGCTGCTCAGACTCAAAGGGAAGGAGGTAAATCATTCACTTGAAGAGATAAGATCCAATACATTTCAGTTGCTTTGCGTGGCCAGTAGGCCATCTCCAGTGTGGCAGCTGAGCCTACAAACAAACCAGCAAGTCGTCTCATGAAAAGTCTTCATAACCATACCTTGGTAGAAATGCGCTTGGGATTCTTTCCCAAAAGCAGGTCAGGAGAGTAAAACGTTTATGGAAGGAAAAAGCAGTTAGACAGAGGTAGCTGTGAAGAGGACCTGCCAAGAAAAGCGGACAGGGAAAAGAGAGGACAGGAAAAACAGCGCTGTTGGGGATAGAATGTCACACACAACTGCAGCGAGTTACTTTTTTGTAAATTGAATTTTGAATAAACTACCGAGTAAAAATAAAACGCAAACATACATATTCATTTTATCATAATGATACAGAAATAGATTACTAAATATAAGTTTATAGTTTAATACATAAAGGTTTATAAACTAACATACAGTTCTGGGAAACCCGACAATATGACATTTTCTCATGATATAAGGAGGGAAGAGAATTTGGGGATTAAGGATTTTTACTTACCTTTATTTGCTATGTAGTCAATTAATACAGTATCAATTAAGAATTACATGACATTAAAGATGCAACAGACAAAACTGCACACACACACATATGTGTTGCTAGTAAAATGTTACTAATTTAATTGTTTGAGGCATTCCCTCTGCTTAAGTAAGCTAGAATTTATTTGCCTAACAAGTAACTATTAATGAGAATTAGTAAAAAATGAAAGCAAGAGGGTCACAGGCCAAGTGTTGCTCCCATCATTAATGCAAGCGATAAAATTTCTCAGTATGACTTTATAAACTGCAATCATTCTGAAATAATGTGCACAGTAAATTTATGCTACAAACCATTTCACATCATTTAAACTAGCGCAACCAAATATCCTGCTGCAGAGACTCTATATTTACTGTAAGACAATTTGTAAAATTCAGCATTTAGAAATCGCTTAAATTATAAATCAGGTCATCATCTGATTTTGTGTCTTTAGGAGACACTAGATGCTGCTGAGTCTTGAATAAAGCACTAGTGAGATTTTCAGAAAAGGGGGTCCCGTTGATACTGGTTATATTCAGAGGAAGACACAGCTAGCCTTTAGCACTCCCCACAAAATGTTATCCAGAGAGTGGCGGAGAGAAGCAGATCTCCAACTCCAAACTAATAACGGCTGTTAATGGGCTCAGTTGGGTTTTTCTCCCTCAGTAACTAAATTACTGAACGTTATTGAAGTTTACTAACACTAGAATTAAAATGCTTGTCTTAAGAAGATAGTAACTGACATCTAATGAATAAAAATTATGCTTAATGAGTTTTTATGGGGACTGCTTTTCAGTCACCAAGTCTCCCAGAATCAGTAAAATGTAACACTATATCTGAATCTATTGATAAAAGAGAGAACCATCTGAAACACTAGGGTATTTTATAGAGCAACCATTTCTTCCTGCATTTACTTTGAAGTGATGCGCAACTTAACCTTGAACCACACTGATTAGAACAGAGTTACGTCATCCTTCCCCTGCAGCTTCAACACGCAGGGATGCAAGCAGTCAGAGTAGGAATTCACAGCCGCACATCTAGCTGCACATCTAGTAAAACTCTCTGCGTGCAGATGTGATCTGTTAGAACCAGTAAACGAAATATATAGTAGGTACCAGTTGCTTACTGTTTGCCTGTCTTGTGTTCTTAAAAATTCATGGATAGTTCGAGAGTTCTGGAATTCATTCCACCCTTTGCAATTCAAATACAGTGTTTAAACCTCAACTTATAGGTAACAAAATGGTTACTTAAAGGCACAGAGAAAGATTCTGTATAGCTGAGACAAGTATAGAAATGCCATCACTTCATAAGGACTATTTGCCTCTCATTCTACAGCCATGAGAGCACACCAGCAGAGCCTCTGAGCAGGGGGCAGTGAGTTGTAACAATGTCCTCTCCAAGAAGGAAGTGTACAAACCCAGGGCCTTCTGAGATATAATCACATCTTGACAGTACACAGAGCGTGTGACATACTTTACAAACCAATACACTACCTAATAGCTTCAAAATCTTGGCACAGTTTTAAAAACATTCTATTCCATAGCAAATCAGAGAATGGAGAACTATCCCTTCACCTCCTCTATTTTCTATAAAAACTGTCCAAATGTTCCTAAGTGGATGAGGAAATTATAGCATTTGGGGGTGGGGGGAGATTTCCCCTTGAGTATATATCAGATCTAGAACGTGGTTTTCTAATTCAGAAGGTGCGTTTCCTGTCTCCACTGCCAAACCAACAAGAGCTATGGATACTCTGCCTCAATAGTTATAAAGAAAATCAAAGGAGCCATCGAACAAACAGCACTGGCTGCTGTTGTGCTTCAGAGTGCCTAAGGAATGAGCCCGAGTTAGCGCCTCTTCCTTGAAAACCCCGCCGAAAGACAGTAAGGGAATATTCTTCAACATACTCAGGCGGTCGGGTGTCAGGTCCAAGGTCGCGGTGTAAAGAAATCCTGTCACTGGCAAAGGCGTTGAAGCAGTGCTTGGTCTCCCCACGCTCTTTCTCCTTCTGCTCCTCCAGGCTGAGGTGGGTGACCTTGAAAGGCTTACCAGAAGCACCGGGTGCATTGGAATCCTGAGGTGGGCGGTCGAGAACGGGTTTCAGCTCGGCTGCTGTATAGTACCCTTGCAGACAGGGTCGCTGGGGGATGTCGATGCTCGGCTTGACAGGTGCTCCTATTTGCATCTTTGGCATTGCGTCTTTGATATTGTTTACAGCTTCGAGCATAAAGTCAAACATTTTGTTTTTGTTTTTCAAGTTTCTCTCCATCTTTGACTCCTCCTTGGAATATTGAACGCTGACTTCTCGTTGCATTAAAATCAAAACGACTAAAAAGAGAAAGATGACCACACCAAGCTTCCAGAACTTTTTGTGGTAATGTTTTTTAATGTGCAGTTTTACGAGTCGCTTTAGGTGAGCCATTCTGGCATTAAGCGCTTGTTACTTGACAGATAACAGCTATGGTTTCCTTTGTTACTTATACTTTGTAGCATAGATTTGCTGGTAAAAAGGTTTCTTTAAATAGTGATACCTACAAATAGAGATGATAGATGGAATTAGTAGTGATTCTTTTCTAAAGTCGGGGTGCAATTTATGACCTCAGCCAATAACTGAACATGAGCTGCAATGTCCTCTTATGGCTTCAAGAACAGGTAGACATTTTACCCTCAACAAAATGGCACTTTAGGAAGAAAAGAGCTATGGTCATTAACTATGACTGACTCTGCCCTTTGAAAGAATAAAACTTTCTTGCCAGAAAAAAAAAAACAAAAACCAAACCAAACCAAACTAAACCACCCATTTTGTTCACTCTGCCAACAACTACTATATGATACACACAAAATATGGCATTGCAAATAGATTTTTTTTTCAGATTTTCAAAAAGGATTATCTGAGCTTGCTCACCAAGGGGGTCAGCAGGGGGTTAGCAGGGGGTCAGAGGCCTTCGTGAAGTGGATTATAAACAGGGCAGATGCATAGGGAAGTCCTGCTGGCATGCACTGCCAAGCAACCTCAATGGTGACCTTCTTTTCATGTGCTTGGCCCTTAACCAGTGAAGCACCACTCCAGGTAAGCAAGCTGATCAAGAAGCTGTACCTGTAAGTCAGCTGGCATTCTCTCCTGGGTCTGCTCACATGGCATTGCTGTGAGTCAAGACAGAATCGCTACACATCTTACTGTAGGGTAATTAACAATTTACAGTCAAGTCAAGTCGTTGCTTTTGCCAGCTACTTCAGTAACTTGCGCAAGTGCCAACCCTAACAGCACAATGAGAACCGTGTTAGCTTTGCTTGCGGTGTCTCTGGGCCTCCAGCATCTGAAGGCAGAAGCTGGCCTGAGGAAGGGCTGCTTGCCACTGAGCATGAGACGGGAACACTGTGTTCGTTAGGCCCTCAAGTGAACCAGTATGAGTTGAGGACAGCCTGAATCAGGATGGAAGTTGAGTTTCTTCGTGATCCTTGCACATATGTTATGTAAACTGGGAAGTGGTGGTGGTGGTGCATGCCTTTAATCCTGTGCCTCAGCACTCAGGAGGCACAGGCGGCAGGATCTCTGTGAGTTTGAGGCTAGCCTTGTCAACAGAGTGAGTTCCAGGACAGCCAAGGCTACACCAAGAAGCCCTGTCCTGAAAAACCCAAATAAATGCATACATAAATAAAATAATAACAATGTAAAAGGGCTCAGTATGATTTCAAGCCATTCCCAATTATTAACAGTGGTGACGAAAGGAACATTGCCTGTTTTCTTGTCCCCCAGTCTACAAAATAATTAAAGGAAATGTCATTTGTAACAGTGAAAACTAACTTGGACACTTTATTAGGCATTTGCTCCAATGTTATTATGTAATTTAAAATAAGGAAAAAAATTAACTTTGGCCCCAAAAGATGCCTCAGACATGATGTCTGTTGCCCATAAAAGTGAGACCCGAATGTTTTCCGGGCATTTCTAGCTTTAGGAGCGTCATGTTAGAATAAGGTGACCTGACGCGCTTTCCCCTGTCTTTAAACACTCCATGTAGTTGTCTAATCTCCTACGCGCCAAATACTGCCCTAGGATTGGCCACAACATTCCAACGCTTCCCCCTTCAGGGCACAAAGGCTGAGGGGTCAAAGTAATATAGGGCAAGCCAAGGGGCACAGCAGGGTCACATGACTTGGAAGGCAGAATGCTGGCAGAGGTCTCAGAGGAAAGCGCCCAGGAGTGACTGACACGGTTGAACAGAATCTTGCCAGATAAAAAAAACTCTTAGGCAGATTGCCGAGACGGAGAGGAGAGATAGACTGGCATATTTAAAGGCTTGGAAGTCAAAAAGGCACAGCCTGATCCGAGCCCAGGTGGGAAATGTTGGGAGACAACACGGGGAGGCCAGGTAGAAATCAATTCACAGAAAGCCTGCGCATCTTCTGGGGATTCTGGAATTTACCCTTTTCTTCTCATCGTAGGGGCTGATGACTTTAAGGCAGGATCATAATCAATCTTATGTATTGGAAAACCCAGCCCTAGTAAATGTGATACTATCAAGGGTACCAGAAGGTAGAGAGGAATCTTAAGAGTCCAGCAACAGAATTAACTACATTTAAGAGAGGACCAGGAGCCGGATGGCTACAGAGATAAGAGTTGACAGAGGCAGGTACCAGTTCCGAGACTGGCCAGAAACTTGCCTTGGCGAGTCCTAGAAGAGGCTACCTACAGAGAGGGACCGGTTCCCGGGACTAGGTAGGTGCTAAGGGGCAGCACCAGCTTCTGAAGTCAAGCTCACTTTTTAATGTGTAGCGGAGGCCAAGATAACTTCGGGCTGGTTGCTTGGAATAGAGGGTGGATAGCTACCTCCACAAATGACCAATTGTTTCAGGCTTTTGTGTGAGTCTGGGAAAGAGTTCGGGGAGCAGCTACCCAGGCTACAAGGACCCAGCCTTACTGGCCAAGTCAAGTCCTGTAAACAGGATCGAGTGGGGGAGCCCGGCTCTCGGAAAGCTGTTCCCTGTAGGGGCCTAGCACCGGAGCAAGCCATGGAAAGAGTCGAGCAGCGGTACAAGTTTGTTCACCAAGAGCCCTGGAGCCAGGAAGGGAAGCCCCTGTTCTGCTCAGTGCCCTTGAAGCACTTTGCTGGCGGAGCTGAACACTGCATCAGTTGGTGCAGGACAAATCCTTATGAGTTTCTGCTCTAATACTGCACGGCGGGCTAATAATTAAAGCCCACAGACAGTCAGCTGGTCAGCAGTACAGGCTTTCCTTCCGCCTCTCCAGCTTTTCCTGTCCACTACAGGGCTCAGTGTCGTTCTCCGGAGATTAGAAACACAGCAGCAGAGTCAGGGAGACAGCCTCTGTTCCTGCTCCCCCAGGCCTGCTATTCACAGCCACGGGGACAAAGCCCTCAGGGAGCTGGGGAGGGGTGCTGGCTGATGATCACGGTCCATGGCCTGTGTTCCTTACTCCATTTCATCAGTTAAAAGCTTTCTCCTGAAGAGAAAACTCCTTTGGTGTATTCAGATGAGATAAACCCCTGCCAGGTCTGCCCCTTCTGAAAGGCTTAGATACATAGCCTCAAATTCCAGCCTCACCAGTCTTAAAGGCTGAGCGCTTTCAAGGCCATGGCCGTACAAAGCATCGTAACTTCCAGTCAACCAATAAAGATCTATATCCCTGGCCATCTCATTCTAAACCCAGTGGACAAACACAGTATCTACCTGTCGGAAGAATTTCCTTGTTTGGGGAGGGCATCTTTTACATCTAACAATGGGCAGGGCTAGATTCGGCAGCTGTCGATTCTCAGTGCTGCCGGGTAACTGCATTCTCTTCTGTGAATCAGTTCTGAGATTTCTTTCTCTATCATTTGGACTAATTCCCCCCCCCCCCAAGAAGTCACAGATATGAGCTGGAAGGGACCAAGGGCTATTGTTTGGGACAGAGTCACCCAAAGAGCCTTGTGTTAAAGGTTCGCCTGCCCTCGCCCCCACTCAGAGGAGGGAGAACTTGAGGAAAGGAAGTCTAGCAGGAGTAGCAGTTCCTTCTGCTACTTCACCACGATGAGTTGCTAATTTGATACTTTCTGTTTCTAAGAATTGGTGCGAAAGTCTCAGGGCTTCCCGAGATACTCTAGAAAAGGGCTGTTGGGGCAGCAAGGGAAGCGTACTGGATCTGGGAATTGACACAGGTGTGGAAAATAGTTGAAACGAAAGCTCTCGGTTCTGACAACTAAAAGTTGCTTATCTGGTCCAGTCCTTAGTGACCACTAGGGATCTGTCAAAAACATCTCAGCTGCCAGGAGTGATGTAGAGGGCACACATGCATGGCTTTCTGATGGTTCTACAGCCCCACCTTCCATTACAGGAGAAGTATCTACTGTGTCTTTGGTGGTTAAGGCGTGTCTGCCTCTTTGCTTCTGCTGCAACGGGATCCTATTAACTCTGCTGAAATCAGGAAGCTGATCTCAATGACCTGAAGAGAGCAACCGCAGACTGCTTTATCCAGAGGTGTGAAGGCACGACTCATGGATGTATTTCACAACATCTAAGGGAATGACCCAGCGGAATGTAGCTGGAGGGTGAGAGTCCGGGATGCACTTGGTAGTAAGTCTCATCAGCCAGCCCGGTTAGGGAGAGGCAGAACACAACTCAGTAGAGGGCCATTTCAGTTCATTCATCTTCCGTGGAAGGGCCAAGAGTATTGAAGGATGGGGATACAGAGGGTAGAACAGTAAGACTCCTCGCTCAGCTCAGCTACTTCCACCTTTCTACGGGCTTCCTCTCCACTCCTTCCGGAATCTCAGTGCCTCACCAGCCTGTAGACGGGACAGCGAACTTTTCATGAGGAGTCAATCACTCCCGTCCTCCCCACCTTCCCTTTTCTTCTTTTGTTTAAAGACCGCATGGCCTCTATTTCAACTACTCAACGCTGGGGAGAGAAGGACAATGCATAAATAAATAAGCATATTTGTGTTCCTATTATTATTATTATTCTGCAAAAACAGACTGTGCACCAAATTTGGCCCAGGGGCTGTTTATTTCCAACCCTTGCTCTCAAACTCCTAAAAGACTTGAATCTCAACATAGCAAATTTCCCCATCTCTCCCTCCCTAGTTCTATCAACCTGGCTGTAACATAACCACATCCATCTTCAAATCATTCACAGCATTTTTAAGGTCAGGTGGCAAAAGGGCCTAATAGGAAACATAAAATAGCTTTGCCTGCTGCTTCAATTTTCTCTGGGGCCCCTGCATCACCCTCTCCTTGTGCTTTAGCAATCAAAACTTCCTTTGTTATAAGTTTACGTTGGACATAAAGCAGTCTCAGCCTAAAACATAACTGCTCCTTCAATAGCTGACCTCAGGGCAGTTTTCCTGAAGGCCACGAGCAGTCAGCTGTCACACAGTGAAGCTGAGGATCCCTGTGCTGAATGACAAGTTCCAAATAGGGAGGGTTCATAATCCTGCGGGATTTAAACTTAATTCCCTTCGCAATGGGTGAGGCCCTGATGGATTTGAAGCAGTGTGTTAGCCAAAACTGACAGCTAAAATGATTGCCCTTGAAAATTGTGCAGGATATACATTATTTTTGGAGAAAGAGGAGCTCAGATAGAAGGGTAAAGGCAATTATGGGATTATTAAAAATAATGTGAGCAAGAGATGGATAAAAGAGATATGGAGGTTTGGACAAAAAGACCCGAGAGGCAGCTGAACTCAGCAAACCATTTGACAGAGAGGCTAGGAGATTCAGTCTGAGCTGAGGATGACCCTTCGCTTGGGGAACGGAAGTCGCTGATGAGCTCTCTGCTCTAGACTAAGGCAAACGGTGTCAGACGGCAACAGCGAAAGAAACACAGCACGCTCTGTTTGCAGGTGACGACCACCACGGAAAGCTAAACGACAAAAATAAATCACGAAGGAAATGTGCGAAGGTGACAATGATTTTCTTAATGTGGTATCTTGACTTTCCTAATGCCATAAACCATTTCTCGGGAAGATATGTCATGCAAAATAGGAGAGGGAATAAACAGGAAGGGTCACATCATCTAATAAATAGCGACTCAAGTGATATCATCAAAGGAAAACCACCAACAGAAGTCCCAGAACGGGCCCAATCAGCAATGGCTCCAAGCAGAACAAGAGAACAAGAGAGAAGGTACCAATAATTTAATGTTTACATTACATAAAACTAAAGAGGCCTTGGCATTTAAAGAAGTCAGACTCCAACTAATATATGGAAAACTCAGGCAGGCTATTTTTCTTAAATTAGTTAAGTACTAATAAAGTGTTAAAATCGATCTCTAAGCTAGCCACAGGACACACGCCGGAAGCCTCAACTATTTGGAGGCTGAAGGATAACTTATGTTGTGAGCATTTGAGACCAACCTGGCCAACGACAGACCAGACCTGATCATACCTCATCTAAAAAATAAATTTAAATTACACCTAATTTAAGAAATAAATGTAATTGTGTAAATTTACTTATTTACACAAATAAAGACCGATTCCTAGCTGAGGGTGGAGGTACACATTTGCAGGCAGAGCACTAGGAAGCCGGAGGTAAGAGAGTCCATCCTGGACTGCACAGCTAGGCCGAGCGGGACTTATGTATGAGACCATGCGTCAAACGCCAAACAAAACCACCTCAATGGACTTGGGTGGATGTTTAGTGAGCGGTATCTACATAACCATAATAAACATACATCAAACTGCAAACGAAGACCCAGACTTCGACGCGGAGGAAGGAAGAGCAGAGGTGGATGTGTGAGTGGAGGAGATGAATACTTATCGGCCATAATGAGAAGACCAGACAGTGCCAAGTCCTGACCTGGGAAACAGCACTGTCAGTGTGTCATTCCGAGGGAGGACACTATTAGAGGCATCTAAAGAGAAGGGGGACAGGTGACTGGAGGTTCGCCGCCACAGTGGTGACTCATTTCATAATCACACTTCACTTTCTTTGCTCCCACGTAAGGTAGATGGAAGCCCTGAGTTACAATCAGACTTCCATGGCTGTGTTTTGGTTCTCAGAGCTAAGAATGAAGCATCTGGATGGCAGTGAATGCACTAACCTATCGTTTTTTTCTCCCTTTCTCTAAAAGAAAAATGGAGAAAACAGCATATACTTCACAAGTTGCTGTGGAAATTTAATGAGTTCATACTCAGATCTCATAGCAAGGGAAGGATAAGAGGACAAGATCTCCTAAGTAAATTGGGGGCATGGAGACCATGGGAGAGGGTTGGAGGGGAGGGGAGCAGAGAAAAATGTAGAGCTCAATAAAATAAAGAAAAAAAGAGCTTCTAATCAATTTCTTACATCAGTAGATGATACATATGATGTCTGTATGTTGTATCCATGTGGGCAAGCAGTTGTGCCCCGTGTTCATAAGTCTTATTATTTCCTTAGAATGGATTTTTTGTCTATAGATACAATCAATTTAAGACTAAAAAAATTTCTAGGTTGGAAAAGAACTTAATGCTTTACATGTAGATTGCTGAAAATATGTTGGACAAAGGAGCAACAGTGAGCAATGATCAGAAACTACTAAGGTGATAAATATGAATTATTCCATGATAAAAATATAATAGTGGTTAGTAATTGACAACATAGTTCAAGATGTGGGGTAAACATCAAAGCTGACCACCCTCTTCTGGGAGGACATTCATTATAAAGGTTGATACATAGCCGAGTACCAAGTAGCTCGGTATTTCTTTAGGCCAACATTCAGTGTGTGACTGGAAGGAAGGGGAGTGCAAATTCCAGAGAGAGACAAATTCCAGTTATAGTTAGAGGTAAAAACGAAGAAGCTCAGATTGGAACTTGAAGGCTGAGTATTAGCTGACAGGCCCAAAGGTAGGGAGGTGCTTGTTACAGGCAGAATCACTCTTGGCAATGACTTAGAGGCAAGAAGAACCTGGCAGTAAAAGAGGTTTCCAGAGAAGCAGGCAGGAGGGGGTGGGGTGGCAGCAGCTGAGTCATGCCCAGACTTTAGGCCACATTAAAGGGTTTGTCTTACCCTAAGGGCGTGGAAGGGCTTTGGGAAGGGGTCATTGTGGCCAAGTATTTTGAAAACTCTCATTCTGGATGCAGTGTGAAGAACAAACCAGAAAGAAGTCAGAAGTAGTTTGGAAAGGCTGGCCATCTGGCCATCGCAAAAGTCCAGGTAAGAGATGACGGTCTTAACGGGCCTGGAGAAAAAATGCATAGATTTGGAAAATGTGCATTTAAAAGATAAAATTAAGAGAATTTGGTCATGATAAGAAATTTTAAAGGAAAACACCTAATATCAAGGCCCCCTTTCCTTTACTTTCTGCCTTCACCCCCAACTATTGGATCAGCCTAATCACACTATACTCAGGTAAGACCTGCCCTCTTATTATTACTCACCAGGAGTAATGGCCTTGATTAAGAAATATTTATAAACAAAAGCTGCATGGTCTTTCAACCACAAAGTTAACTTTTCACTTCTGAAAAGTGAATCCTTGCACACAAAGTCTCCAAATAACAGAATTCAAAGGAATGAGATGGGCATAGTAGCAACCTAAGTTAAAGAGGCAAGTTCAGTGAAATGCTTCTCTCATTTCCTAATGCCCACCCCCGAACCCAGAGAAAAGTGCTCCACCACCATGCCACCCTCCCAGCCACATCAATTCACTGCTTCACACTCCAGGTTTGGCTTGCAGAAAACGACTGCCTGTTTCGCAAACCATCCAAACGATGTTTGTGCCTGCGCACACAAAGAGGTGCAGAAGCAGACCCACCAATAACCTCCAATCTGGTGAGACCTGAGAGCTACAGAAAACCCGAGATGCGCTCTACTCAGAGAAGAAAGTAGTTCCAGTTTATGATTTCCATTTGTTTGGAATCACCGCCTCAGGGGTTCTGCTGAGGGTGGATTTGAGGAGGCAAGAGGACACACGAAGATTCAGATGGGAAGTATAGTAGCCTAGACACGAGCTGTTAACTCCCTGCTAAAGGGGAGAAGCAGGGGAGGAGTGTTAGTGGTGAGAAGCCAGTAAAACGTTGGGCAGACTGAGTGAGCGGATGGCTGCTGTGCTAGTCTGAGACGGCCACAACAAAGTACTCTGCCCCAGCTCATTTATAAACAACAGTAACTGCCCACATTCTAGGAAGTTCAAGGTTGAGGCCCTAGCCGACCAATGCACAGAGAGGGGCCATTCCCACAGATGACACACTTGTCCTAGGTGCATCCGCTTAGGGGAATTACCAAAAGCTGACAACGGTCCAGCTCTCCTAGCCCCAGGGAAGGCGCAACCCTCACGACCCAATCACCTTCCAAAGGCCTGGGTCTTGTTTTGAGGTGGGTCTAAACTACACAGCCTTGGCCAGTCTGTAGCTTGCTAGGTAGGACAGCCTGGCCTTACACTCACAGAGATGTGCCTGTCTGTGCTCAAAGGGTACTAGGACTAACTGTGTATACCACCGTAGCTGGCAGCTCTCATATCTTAACACCAACACACATGGAATTAGATGTCTACATATGTATTTTGGAGGGGCACAAATCCTCGTATGATAATTATTGTGGAGGTCGGTACGACACGGTTAAAATCAACTCTGTATTTGTGGTCTGATTCTCAGATTGTACTATAGATCCGTAGTCTATTCCTCCCAATCTCTTCAGCTAGATGTGTCTCAACATCAGAATGTTTTGGAAAGTTAGGATAGTGACATGGTTCATATACCTAATGTAATGCTGTTCCTCATCAGAGCCAAGGGCTCTATCTAATAAAAGCCAGCACTATTTCTGCAGCAAGATCCCTTTTTACTAGTGGTATAGATGGCAGTTTGGCAGTTTCCTGACAGTTCACTTGCTCAAGTTTGGCTAACAAATGAGTCACACGAACTTTTGTGGGTAAGACGACATGATAAGATTTCTAACAC